ACCTTCCATCATCTCGCCAGATCAACCTGTAAGGACGAAATTTCACAGGACCTCTTCGCAATCCCTTCGAATCGATGACACCAGGTTGATCAGCGGCGAACGACTTTCGATGGAGCGGAAGGTCGGAAGGGAAAGGGGTCAGAAGTAGCTGGGAGAGTAGAAGAGCTTCTAGGGCGGAGTGTACTCTCCCCGTTGGCCGGTCATAGGGCGTGAGAAGGTACGTGGACGATGACGTCACCGGAGACCAACGTGCCGCAAAATAATTGCAGCCTCGTGGCAAGTGCCGTGTCATTAGGCGCCGCGATCATAGAATTTCGTGTCGTTCGCGTACGAAATGGTCATTAAATCATTATGTTTATCCGTCAACCCCGCGTGCCGGCAGCCTCTTGACCTCGTGCTGACCTCTCGCGCCGCTCTCCTTCTCGCTCTCTCCGGCCGCGACCGAGAGGTCTGACCCCGCGACGAACCGCTCCAACGATGCAACGGGTGTCACTGCTGCCATCGTCCAGCGTCCAGCTCTCGATCGCGTCTCCTCCGGATCTCCGATCCTTCTTCCTCGCGTCGCCAGACATCGTCCCGTTCGTCTCGTTCATCATCCTCTCGTTAGCGAGTCGCGCCGATTTTTCCCCGCGTAGCAGCGCCGTTCTTTTCCCTCCTCTTCCCTTTTAACGCGCAGTCCGTTCCGGTGCCTGTTAAAATTACGAAAACGACGCGGCTCTAGCGACCGCGGCGCGCTAAACGGCGACGAAAGCGCGATCCCGGTGACGCGAGCTTCGGCATGCCGCCTGTCTTTTATGACAGTCAGGTGCCGTATAAATTTACTTAATACGCGGCGACCCTGAAACAGCTGAGCCGGTAATGGAATCTCCATATATGCGATTCTTTATTACGTCGAAAATTGCGGAGCGTGGCCGGTTCTACCAAGTCGGTCCACGACGCGAGCAACGGCTCCGCCGCCATTATTTACCGCGTTTTGTTGTCGTCTATCGTAGTCACCTCGCGATTCTATTACGACTCCGTCGCGATTCCGTCGCGATTCCATCACAATTACGTCGCAATTCCGTCACAATTCCGTCCCGATTAAATTACAATTTTATCTCGATTCCGTCGCAATTTCGTTACGATTCCATGGCAATTTCGTTGCGATTCCGACGCAATTCCGTCGCGATTGCGTTCCGATTAAATAATGATTTTATCGCGATTCCATTGCGATATCGTCACGATTGCGTTGCAATTTCGTCGCAATTTCGTCACGATTCCACCACGATTTTGTCGCGATTGCATCGCAATTTCGTCACAATTTCGTCGCGATTCCGACGCGATTCCACCGCAATTTCGTCACGATTCCATCGCAATTTCGTCACGATTCCATCGCAATTTCGTCGTAATTTCGTCACAATTTCGTCGAAATTTCGTCACTATTTCGTCGCGATTCCGACGCGATTCCATCGCAATTTCGTTACGATTCCACCACGATTTTATCGCGAGTGCATCGCAATTTCGTCACAATTTCGTCGCGATTCCGATGGGATTCCATCGCTATTTCGTCGCAATTTCGTCAAGATTCCACCACGATTTCATCGCGATTGCATCGCAATTTCGTCGCAATTTCGTCGCGATTCCGTCGCAATTTCCTCGCGATACCTTTCTACTCGATACCCATGTCGTCTACGCGTCGAAACTTCTGTTTCCATTTCCGTCTCCTGGAAATTACCAAAGAATTGTCAAAATTGAGATTCCAAAGGTTCCTATCGTACCCGGTACGGAACACGCCTAGATCTTCGCGCGTTTCCAATTCCTGCCCAGTCCAGGGGACTAAGCCAGAACCACGGGATAGTGTAAAAAATCGGCGAATCGGCGAGAAATCAGGGAAGATATGCGAAAAATCTAAGGGAGTAACAGGTGAGTGGCTAATTAAAATAGCGAGGGCTCCTCGCTGGTGGATTTCCTCTCGCTCTATCAAATATTCAAATCAGCCAGGGATTAAAATCTCGGCGGAGCGTTTAATTGCCAACTTCGACGCGGCTTGTCAGGGTATCGCAGGCGGATCTCGCGGTTCGCACGCGAGACGGATCTGTCTTGGAAGGAGGAGGCCGGCGGAGATCGGGCTCGGAGGGATGCAAAAGGAGGAGAGCAGGGAAGGGTGCAAGGGCAGAGGTGGACTCGCGGCGAGAAGCTGGACGCGCTTGCGTTCGCTCGTTTACTCGCGCGATCCTTTATACGAAGAGCCCGTGCGAGAGATAAAGCCCGGTAAAAGTCCGGAGGCGCGTATCGCCGCGTTTCTCCGACGATTGTTATCTGCCGGCGATATATTAAGCGCCATTACCAGTATTTAGAAGGCGGCGCTGCCGTCGCTGCGCTCGCTGCTGCTCCCTTATCGAGATCGCCGAGCGTGAAACGTGCCGGACCACGGGCACGCAGCGATAAACGAGGATTAGCCGGCCTGTTCGTTATCGAATCGGACCTGATCGCTCGTGAGAAAGGAGAAGTCCTGCATCGCGATACCTTTCCCAATGGATCCAGGGTGCAAGATGTAAGTGCGTTATGGAGATTCCTTCGAGGAAGCCACTGAGTGGGCTTCGTTGGGCCCGATTAGAGTAGCGTGCTAAGTTAGTCGAGTTTCGGGCATCGTTTATCCGGTTTAAATCTTATTCCTGATTCCTGGCTATCGAATTGGAATTATTCAGGGATTTTTATGTATTTCGGTTTTTAATGGATCTGGAAGATTTAAATGATCTTCGGTGACGTTGCGGCGAGTTAGTCGAATTTCGGAGACCGTTTATCTTTCGAGTTGGAATTATTCAGAGGTTTCTAGGTATTTCGGGTTTTTAGTCGACTCGACAGATTTAAATGATCTTTACTGAGATAGTATATGAAATACTAAGATGGTATTATATACACGTATTAATATTTTTCATTTATTTTGCTTCGATTAATACGAATTAATATTTAACAAAATATATTCGAAATTATTTTGTTAAATACGTATCTCTTTGTTTTTAATTCGGATATCGTAGTATTCAGTGACGAATAAACATGCTAATCACCAGTCACACGTTCCTCGCGAAAATTTTATAAACATCATCGTGATACTAAATTAGCTACGCTCGTGGTAATATTTAAACACGGAAAAACAATCTTCACAAAGATACTTTCACGTGTAATTCGCATTTAATCGAAACGGGATTCCAGGAGACAGGAAAATATTGTACAATGGTCACGTTATGTTTCCCGGATATTTATAAATAGTCTCCAATACTATTCACCGAGAGTTTAATATTTATAAATACACCTACGAATACGACCGAAAAATAATTAGTATTTAAAGAATTCTATTTGAGGAATCGTTGATTTATCTGTAATGAGTGAATCGTGGAGGAAGAAAATCGCCTACGAGTCGTGGACGATAACTCCCGGCCTCTCGTTCGACGATTAAAATCCTAGCTCACGGCTGGAATGTCGCGTAATCAAAGAGTTTTTCGACGATTAATCGAGATAACGAGAACCGGTCGACCGGGGGCCCGGAGTCGAAATAATTTCGGGCCATAACACGGGTAAAATAACGGTACGTCGTTCAGCATTGGCCGCGACGCGCGGTCACTCTTAATATCAGAATCCACCTCCCTGCATCGGATCCAAAAGGAGCGAGGCCACGAAATGGAAAAAGAAGAGGACGAAAATACGAAAAAATAAAAAAAAAGGACGAAAAGTTATGAAGATCGCGACTCTTTTTAATATCCTCCTCCTCTGGAGGAGAAAAAGTAGCTTGTATCTGCTGTGTTCGTAACTGGTTTCGATTTAATCAGGTGATTCAGGATATCAAGTGTCGTTCGTCGGGTTAACTCTGGATTTATTGCCGTGCTCGAATGAAATTTTCATTTATTCTAAACGAACACAGGCTGATGGAACGATAAAGAAGCGCGCGCTGGGTCCCCGGGCTTGTAAACGGTGTCATCAGCATGGCTACCTAACAGACCCGGTCATTGTAAACCTCAGAATTTAGTTCGTCCTCCGAGACAGGATCAGAGTGAAATTCCTTCCGTCGGGGAACAGATTCCGGACGTGTTAACTCTTGTAAACTCTAACGAGTTTTTGTATCACAAATTACCGTGTTCGAGCTTGCCCGAGTTCGTACCACTTTGGTAAATTTCGATCGACTCCGATAATTCCACCGAGCATCTTGTTAATATCGCCGGGTATTATATTACCGTTGGAATTACGTACGTGATTTCGGAGATTAAATGCGAGAGATAATGCTAGATTTTGTGGACCATCGCGAGGGATAAATTAGAAGTCCAGGTTTTTGGATCTTCACGCACCCCATATGGGGGGTTCTCTTACGTGGAGGATCTCTAAACAGCGTGTGTGGAAGTCGAAATAATTTAACGTGTTTATTTAACCGTTTGAGTCCCAAGCAGCGCTTGAAGCTTTCGGAAGAACACGGTCGAAAAACCCTTAACACTTCGATAACGCTTGCCTTAATCGAGTGCGAAGAAATCCAAACGGCGCGATAGCGCTTGTTTAACTCCTTGGCTACTGTGACGCATATACGCGCTCAGAAATGTTGCTTTTGTGACACGGAAGGCGCATATAAGCGCTCAACACAGTTTGCTTTTGTGACACGGAGGGCGCATCTCTACCCAAAATTTCGCCGTCCTCGGCGGACATTGTAAATGAATTCCTACCCATGTGGTACGACCGGTACGTTTCAAAGTCTGCCGTAGTCAAAGGGTTAATTTTACGTCGAAAAATCCTAATCGTCGCGATAGCGCTTGTTGGTGCTGTGTGACGTACGTGCTTCAGCAAAGTTGAGCGCGCCACTTCGACTGAAGAGCGCGATCGCGCTGCTTGGGACACGAACGATTAAATCTAGCCTCCATTCTCACCATCAACCTCTCTTCGAACTGCGATAGTATGCTATTTTCAATCGCACTATCTTTGATTGCAGGCCGCGTGGGTTTCTCTGAGTCGGGACCGGCGATAGCAGAGCCGCGATCAAAATGAGTATTCTGAACACGGATTCGGAGAACCGCGTGGTCCTGAATGTGGGCGGTATCCGGCACGAGACGTACAAGACGACCCTGAAGAAGATCCCCGCGACGAGGCTGTCGAAGTTGACCGAGGCCCTCGGCAACTACGACCCCATACTAAACGAGTACTTCTTCGACAGGCATCCGGGGGTCTTCGCCCAAGTGCTCAACTACTATCGCACCGGGAAGCTCCACTATCCGACCGACGTCTGTGGCCCGTTGTTCGAGGAGGAGCTCGACTTTTGGGGTCTCGACTCCAATCAGGTGGAACCATGTTGCTGGATGACGTACACACAGGTACATAAGCATCGGCAGGATCTATCCGCTTCTTTTTTCAGTTTCCTTTGTTGCGTTCACTTAGTTATTCGTAGATGCGGTTTCACTGTTTGCGGATGCGGATTAGGGGTCCGGATTGACTGGGGGTTTATGAGAAACACGGTTTGGGTTAGCTTTTCCTTACGTGCGATACGATGTATCGTGATTGTTGACCGAAATTGCGAATTTGGTTAGCCGGAAAGTTTAACTTCCGATTAAAGTTGCAGAGTTTTAAGCTAATCTAAGTTTGCGTGGCCTGGTTTGTTAGGGTTGAGTTATTTTCATAAGAAAATCGACTGATTGGAGATACAGCATGGAACTTTCTTTGTATTTCCTGTATAGTATGTTTTAGTTTATAATATATTTGTCTTTGTTCACTCGTGTTTGATATCGCTTCAGTTTTTCGTAAAGGATGTATGCATTTTGTTACATTCGAAGAATTTATTTTTCTCAAATAACTAAGGTTTTAATAGAAAAATATGAGATAAAAATTTAAGTCCAATTTAATGTGCAAATTATAAAGAACAGGACAAAACACTGTATAATTGTTATTATCACCTATATTCTTAATTGCGTTTATAAATAAAATGAGAAACTAAATATTTAATAAATATTAATATTAATACTTTTCTTTGCTGAGAAGGGAAGACAGAGTAAATGCTATTTTTTAAAAATAATTCTTAACGAAAGTTAAGATTTGGAAATTTTTGTTTATTATTTATCCTTTAAGGTACATAAATTAAAATTAAAAATATTAAGAACAAAACTTATTGTTTATAAACATATTAGATGTTATATCTTCATCCTATTTTAAATTTGGACCCTCTGTTTTTATTTTGATTAATACAAATTTTTAATCAATTTTTAATTTTAATACACGTATCTCAGAAGACAAGGACTATACAAAAATTCGCAAACGATTATTTTGTTACCGTATAAATAACAAACAAGAATGTACATCTGTTTAACTGTCGTGTTTCATAACAAATTAAAATGCAATAAAATATTTAGAAAACATCAATTTACAGAATTTAATCTGCATCCGCAAATCACTTTAATAAATACTGCATTGTTCCACGATATAATGGGAATGTGTTTGTTACGTCTGTTTATAATACTATTTTATATTCAATCTAGATCAATAATCGCGAACACGAAGCATTGCACTACAGTGTGAACCCAAATATCGCCGATTTCATTTAACCGTTAACAAAGCCCCCGTTTCTTGATTAATAATGTACATACGCCGGTAAACAAGTCACCGATCATATAATGCAAATTGTATAATATAATCAGCACTCCCACCACCTCTTCCCTTATCACATTGTCATTCGTTCGATTCAGGAGAGATCCTCCGCTACCCCGATTGGCCTGACAGGAGGAAACGAAAGCGTGGCCCGGCACTCGTCGTCGGGGAGGCTTCACCGTGATGCATCGGTGTATCAGCACGTCGTCCAGGCCCGTGGTATCGGTTTGGCGATCTCCGGACGATTTGTCAGCGGTCGACCGGCCGTGTAGCAGCTTATCAAATATATATCGAACACCGCTCCCATCGTGTATTTACTGCGGTCCCCGATGAGCTTACGTGTACGCGTGCACGTGCTCCCGGCCCTCGATTCGATCAATCGACGCACCGAGAGATCGATGCACTCTCCGCGAACGGCCCTCCAAACGTGAAAACGTGTCACCGTATCGCTAATTAACATCGACACGCGAATTAAGAGTCCCTCGTCTGCGATTCTTTACTTGAGATCGGTATGAAATGTGAAGCAGCGTTGCAACGCAGCATCGACGTTTAAAAATTCGCCATTTTAATACAAATCTGCGAAAAATGGATTCCTTCGATTCGAGATATCGAAGATTAAAATATTCTCTTACGAGAAATTTTTAAAATTAAAATTAAATCTATTTTAAAAGTTAAAACTAAAATCGAAAATTTTAGGAAAGCCTATTCCCCAAGAAAAGCTAAACTAGGCGTAGATCGAAGAATAAGAGGAAGCATGTATTGTAAATATGGGATGAATGATTTCAATTGAAACAAATTTTATTTCGATTTGTGAAAGTTTTCGTATGAAATGTTCATGTTATACTGGTCGTGGAATCATGGAGATTCCACTCTATTTCCATCCACGTCTCCATAAACCGTATCGACTCGTCCTGCGCCGACACGTCCACGCACCTGAAGAACCTAAACTCCCAATTTGTCACTAGCGAGGAATGAAATCGACCGTGGAAGAAACGACTGACAATCAGACAGAAACGTCTGGGCTCGTTGCCGGTTGAAATTTATCGACAGCTCTGCTCGTGGCGCAAGCACATCCTGGTAACCGTAAACGTAGCGGTGAATCGTCGATCGTACGATTCGAATGCGTCTACTTAGGAATCGATCCTCGGATGATCGCGCCGCGAGGAGATTTGTGCGAAATAGGAGGGAAACGGGCCACGATCAGGCCGGGGGATCGGTAATGGAGCGACCGGTCGCGGCCCTACTCCGCTCCACCGCGAGAAAGAGGCTCGATCGTTGGCGCGATCGTATCTCGGGGTGAGATCTTAGGATCGTGCGCGATAGAGCAAGATAATGGAGATAATCTCCGACGCGGCTCAGTTCAAAAGATCGCACACCCACGCGCTCCTACGCCGGAGATCGTTTCCGCTGCGATATCGGTTAGGCTCCGCGAAACCTCGCCGATTTTGGAAACTATCGACCGATCTCGCCTTTCTTTCCAGTCCAACGTAACCGCACTGTTCTTGCACTCCAGTTGACTTCGAATTTTACCACTCTCTCGTCCATTGTCTGCCAGTCGTATCCTTTTTCCTATGATCGTTGCTTCGGAGATCGATGAAGATTCTGAGAGGATCGAAAGACGTATCGCTGATCTAATAAATTTATTCAAAATAACCTGTATGCAGGGTTTAACAATTTACTAAATAGTCACTTCTAAATTCTGTCAATATCCCTTCACTAAATTGTCACTTCTAAATTCTGTCAATAACACTTTACTAAACAGTCACTTCTAAATTCTGTCAATAGTTTACAATTACAGTTTATACTCTACAGTAAAATAAAATTTCAATTTGTTCCAAATTTTGTCAATAACCCTTCACGAAACAGTCACTTCTAAATTCTGTCAATAACCTTTTACTAAACAGTCACTTCTGCATTCTGCCAATAACTCTTTGCTAAACAGTCACTTCTAAATTCTGTTAATAACCCCTCACTAAATAGTCACTCCTAAATTCTGTCAATAACCCTTTACTAAACATGCACTTCCAAATTCTGTCAATATCCCGTTACTAAACAGTCACTCATAAATTTTGTCAATAGTTTACAATTACAGTTTATACTCTATAGTAAAATAAAATTTCAATTTGTTCCAAATTTTGTCAATAACCCTTCACTAAACAGTTAGTTCTAAATTCTGTCAATAACCTTTTACTGAACAGCCACTTCTAAATTCTGTCAATAGTTTACAATTACAGTTTATACTCTACAGTAAAATAAAATTTCAATGTGTTCCAAATTCTGTCAATAACCCTTCACTAAACAGTCACTTCTAAATTCTGTCAATAACCTTTTACTGAACAGTCTCTTCTACATTCTGTCAATAACCCTTTGCTAAACAGTTACTTCTAAATTTTTTCAATAACCCTTCACTAAACAGTCATTTGCAAATTCTGTCAATATCCCTTTACTAAACAGTCACTTCTAAATTCTGTCAATACTTTACAATTACAGTGTATACTCCACACTAAAATAAGATTTCAACGTGTTCCAAAATCTCTCACCCTAACTCAAACAAATTCAACCACTAGAAAGGACCCCCATTCGCTAGGAATTTAATAATCAAATCACCTATGACAATATATCCATTCCACTAGCCAATAAACGCGCGATGACATGCCAAAGGAAAGCTCGCGATTATTCAATATTCACCGCGATGTCGTCTCATTTTCCGCATCTATGAAACGATACGCAATGGTAGGCGTATTTGCCCACAAGCATGTTGCAAAAATACCCGTGAAGTCACGAGAGCGTAATACTTTTCTAGGCACACCGGTAACCGTATCGATCCAACAATCTGCCAGAAGAATCGAATGCACGAAACTCATCAAACGTCAACGAGAACGATCTCCGACTGAATATCCGACTTTATTCGTCCGTTCGATCTTTACGATTCTAATCACCTGTCTAATGATTGCAATTAAGAGTAGCGACCCTCATAGTAGATCCAAGGATAATTAACGGACCCTCCCATCGGCCGATAATCGCTACCTGCGAATCACAGTCCGTAAGACGATTATATCTTGCCTCCTTTTTCCTGCACGTCTCTATCTCGCTTCGCCGTTGTCGGTCCCAACCTCCGTCTCATTCATCCGTTCGTTGTGATCGCGGTTTTTGCGCGATCGCGGAGACGTTCCGGGGGAGACGGGGTTGGTTTATAGGGTTCCCCGTTCGTATCGACGCGCCTCTATCGAGGGAACAGGACCGAACGGACTTTTAAAATTTTTTTACGAGCGTACGGGAATGAATCAAGCAGAGACGTTGAATTGACCCCCCGTCCATTTGAATTATTCATGGATTTGCGGCAATTAGTCGTGCCCCTTTTTAGCGAGACGATGAACGACGATGTTGATGGTTTCGCTGCTACTTCGTCCCGGTTTTTGCCGCGATTAGTTATCGGCCATTCGCAACTGGAGTGCCTGTGCTTTCCTCGCGCATCCTGATTGCCTTCGATCGCGCACGTACCCGCGTTTCAGACTTTTCACCAACAATTATTTACGATCCACGGGTCTATGAACCTGGCCCGTGATAGGGAACGGGTATATCTCGAGTACACAGATGCTGATAGGTACCATGAAGATCGGTTGGAGATGAAGGAAAATGGTAACGAGCTGAGGGAGCTCTCGATGAGTATTAACCCTTTGCACTTCTGCTTCTGTTTCATTTTCTTGTTGACGAGTTTATGACGAATTTAGCATTGCAGATGGTTTATTTGACAGCTGCTTCGAGAGATGCGAGTAGGAATTAATTTAAACCCCCTTTTCCTTTTCTTAATTATGATCACGATGTAATTGGAATTTCGCTGTCAATATACTTGCAATTCGGCGTGGACACAATTGCAAATGGAATTGATGTTGAATGACACTTGATGGGGGAGTTTGAGAGTTAAAGATAAGGTAGTTAGGATATTTTGGAAACAAGTATGTTTGATTAATTAATTTGCAAGAGTAACCATATTTTACAAATAAAAATCTGAAAAGTGGTAGGAAATTTGCTATATAAAGTTATTTATAAACTTGACACATTGAACCTTCTATGACAGGTATGGTACGAGGGGTGGTAAGGAGTAAAGGGGCATTATTCCTGCGTACCATATTCAGAATCAAGCGACTCCTACGGAATTGTCAGAAATTGAATTTCATCCGGACAAGATGGCGATTAACTCGCGATGAATCGCGGATAACACGAAGGCCGAGTCTCGCGCGACTATGCTCGCGAGTTTAAGTATATACGTTTATGGTCATCAAACAAGTTTCAATTGTCGTTTCAATACTGAAACGTCACATCGAGTCGACCACGCCACCGATGATTCGACCATTTGCTTCATCTCTGCTGATATTTTCGAGCAAAGACTGGTTCCATAATCCGTAATATTAATAATTCGCGAATTCAATATCGACGTTTATTTAAATTAAATACCTTTTTAACCCATTGGACTATGGTCGTATATATGCATTCTGCATAAATCGTCAATTTGGCAGAGAAACCCATATATGAGTTTCGCGAAGACAACTGATAGAGCTGAAAGACTAATATATGTGTTTCACGTAAACGCATCGCTATGACCACATATGTCTAGAATCTAACATATTGGGGTGCTATCAACGAAAATAGGGACTAATTAAGCAGAAATGTGCACTGGCAATTTGAAATGCCTATCATGGCAGCAACTCGACGCCATGTTAACTTCGAACCGACCCATCCGCAAAGGGTTAAATATCACCATAATCCTTAACGTTAATAATTCGTGATAAATCGAATATCGAATATCGTTCATTCAAATTAAATACCTTTTTAATTATAATATCGAGGACCAGTGATCACCTAACGTCACTGCTAAATTGCGCACCACTCGTCGATCACAGCCCCCCATTGACAGTGAACGCACCAAAACTCGGATATATAAAAAGATGTCGAAATT